ATGACCTGCTTATTTAGCAGCCAACAGGAGGCCACGTTTGATATCCTTGTGCTTCCTCAAGCTGTTTCTTCACTGACAGAAAGCAGTGCCCTTGTGAGCTGTGCTTAACCCGACTTTTCTAAAATGCCAACTACTCAGCATGTCTGATGGAGTGGAAAGTAGAGCTGCACATGAGAGAATCTCTTTTTTTGTGTTGAAATTACACACCAGCTTCCTGTGAGAACTAGGATAAAACTGTAAGGTTTACTATGTTTTTTAAAAGGTAAATAATTTTAAGAAAGTAAATCTGTGCTGTCAGAGGAGTTCCCACACCATGCACACAAGAAAAAAATGAAAGAATGCCAACTTGCATCAATCTCCAGAAAGAGTATTGTGGCATGAGATTTGTGATCAGGTTACAAATCTGTCCAAAATCACCAGCCTAGAAAACAGGAATTTGCTAGTCACAGAAGCATGAGATGAACTATTTATTTAGGCTTCTCATCAGCTTTGCTCTGATCTGAAGTCACAGTTTAGATAAAAATCCTGCAGACATTTCCTACAACATCCAGCCCAGGATAACAACATTGAGCCTTGCATTTCCAAAGCTACTGAAAACAAATGAGTGTAGGACTTGCTACTCAGGTGTCCACCAGAACCTCTTTTCATTTTCATAAAGCCAAATCTCTATTTGTTATGGCTTCAACAGAAAATTTAGATACATAAACAGAAGGAAGCAATGTGTAGGCATCTATCTATAATCTGAAAAGCCAGTTCTATGGTTTTGAACTGTCCACTCATCCACTTTATCTCACAAATACTGTTCCTACAAATGCACTTGCCACCTGCTGGCGACATAGAGAAGTGGTCACCAATTTCCACTTCCCAAATCACCCTCTCACATAGTACATAGAATATCCTACGACGGCACAGACCTTTGCAAACACTGGGATTTTGTATAGGCTTACAAAATTAAACCTAATTACTTTTTTTTTTTTTTAAAACGTAAGTTTGGAAATTCCATCTCCTCTCTTCCTGCCCCTTAACTTGAAGTGCTTCATTGTAGCTGCTTCTTCCATATGCACCCAATTCACTTATCTTGCTCATTTTAAGTCCTTCTTTGGGACAAAACATTCTCTGTATTACATTTGCATTAAATTGGAGAAAGTAACATTCAAGATAGATCTTTTTTCTTGCTACTACACCTAAAATTTTAAATGATGAAACAAAAACTGATACATTAAGATTGTTTATTTTAAATGGTATTCTGAAACTCATGGTTATATACAAATTTTCAAACTATGAAGCTTAAGATTGCGTGATGACTGTCTTCACAAAATAAGGCTGCTCGGTCAATCTCATCAAAGCTGATTCCATTGAAGTTTGACTATTCAGAGTACAGGATGGCTTGGAGAAGGTTGTAATCCATGAAGGAACCAACACCAAAGGAGGTAGGCCTTCCTACACAAAAAGCTAATCAAGGACCCCCTCAATTACCATGTAACATTTGTTGAATTTGAGAGCATCACCAGTGGGAAAGATCTGAGTGAAACCAATGATCATTGCGGAAAGGCCTTTATACTGCACTCAAAAATCTGGAGACAAGTACCCACTGCAGGGGCTTTTCCATGCCATTCATACTCGCTCTGCTTTATTCCCTGCTCAACTGGGCCAGTCAGAGAAAAAAAATATTTTTTTTAAAAAAAAGCGGTTTATACTGCTATCATAATTTGGCAATGACCTTTAGAGACAAGGTTTGTTGGGTTTTTTTAGGGAAAATTAATACGCATGAACAGGATTTACGTTAATGCTGAAACTTCAGTTAAGATGCAGGGATAGGATGAAATGTATCATCCCTCAGCCAACAGACAGAAACTTTTCATTTCTCTGAATTGACATGGAAAGCAGAGGAATTACTGTCTCCTCTCATGCTCCCCTAATACTAAATGTAGAGATATGCTTCATGAGTTTGTTTTATACAAAGACAATTAAAAATACATTTTAGTAAGGTTTCCCATAAAAATCTTACCAACAGCAGAGTACTGAAATCAGTGCAACGAAATTAAAATGACAGGAAGGAATATTTACAACCACATCATATTGTACCGAAATTGGAGACCAGAAATTTCTAAAGTGCAAATTTGGCTATATTCTACACAGATACAGGGATCTGTTTTCTCACCTATACTATGAACCTATACCATGAACCTATACCATCAATTACAGACACACCACATATCCATGCTGAACATTTAAGTGACCAAACGTCATCCTGAGGCTGACAGGTGAAACTCCTCTGCTGAATCCAGTGGGAGGCAGACATCGGCATCCGAGGGCCAAATTTAGTCCCTCAGTTCTAGCAGTGTCACGTGCCGGATGGGGATTAACTACTGTAAACCCAGGAACACAAAACATGGAGGAAGTGTATTTAAATACACGGAGGACAGTATTTAAATAGAAATCTTACAAAGAGCTTAATGGTTCGCTTTAAAGTAGATTAAAGACAATAACTGCATTTTCAAAAGCACAAAATAAAGGGTCCAGCACTCTGTATTTTATTTAGCTGCAGTTTTGTCCTAGTTCAGACTGGGCACAAATTTTTAAAGACTATTTACACCAACAGGATTTGCAGGATTAGCCATGAGAGCCTCTAAAACCAGAGAGAGGCCACAAAAACAGGCTCTTGCAGCATTAGAATATTAAAAAGTCACCATTCAAAATACCTCATTCTTAAAAATTAGTAAAGGAAATCACAACAGAAGGAATGTGGCTGCTCGGTTTCCAGATTAACTGAAACTCCCAGTCACTTCACCCATATTCTTAAGCATATTGGACAGTTAATCTACATATTATTTACAATAATTCTTGCTACTACCCAACAAAACCAAAGAGAAAACTGCTTGTTGACTCACAGCTCTCTATACTTTGCCAACTAAACACTCTCCAGTTTCTTATTTTTGGGCAAAACTATCCTATGTTTGCCACAGGATTTTAACTACGAGTAAACAAAGTTTGTCTTGAAAAGGAGCACATGTTAAGTGAATTAGTTTGTTCCATTAGTCTATTTTTAAACTACTACATCATATTTACTGAAACAGCTATGGCATGAGAGGTTACACAGCTAGGCTTAAGTACTGCCATAATCTGACACAATCCACTTGGTTATGCCCCAAACTATTTACAGTGAACTTGATTCAAATAAACCACTTGGTTCAAGAAAGCTTCCAAAGAACTAAGAATTGCAAGTCCATAAAATAATCTTTCCTAAGAAGTCATTTGGGAATGATTTAGTCATGATCTGTTCATGTTAATTTAAGATAGCCATATACTGAAATACGCCCATGGTCCAAAGCCTCACTGAAAATGAGTCCCAGCACCTAGACATGCATTAGCAAACAAGGGTAAGCCTGTGGGGAGGAGAGAAAATGGAATCTATTCTGCCTAGAAAGAAAATTAATTACGTTGAGATACAGAAGTATTAACACACAGGCTTCTGAAGAACAACGAGTAACTAAAAAGTTGTTATTATGAAACTGAATTAACTACAACTTGATCCTTAAAGGGGGCAGGCTAAGCAAACGTAGATGGCTACAGCTGTAATAAGTTTTTAGGAGAATTAAAATCTGCATAGGCAAAGTAGCTCCGCGTTTCTTTCTGGCAAAAACCTAAGCTGATCTTTTAACAATGCATGAAGTCTAAAAAGTTAGCTGGTCAAGTTATGAACAGATCTGAGTAACTCTTCATAAAACATACCCCTGTGGAGCACCAGAAGAAATGGACCAATTTTGGATACAAATTCTTCTTGATACTTAATATACCCTACCTACCTAAGCCCTTGAAAAACAGGAACTACTTCTTCCAAAGCAATTCAGTTGATTTCACACTTATTTTTTGCGCGTGGAACTGGCCGAAAGAAAAATCCATCACTGGGAGCAATGAGTTCTGCATTGGATTCGCCCACGACAGCCAACATTAAGATCCTCTTTGCCTTTTGCAGCAATGAATTCTGTAGTTTATTCCAGTATCTCAGGAAGAGTCTTAAGTTTCCTGGTAACCTCCTCAACAGCTTTTGTTCCACAGGCCTTCAAAGAGCTACACACCTGCCCTCTAAGCTAAGTTACTCTAAGTTCCATGAAAGACTTCAAACATAGAAGCACTGAATGATACCACAGTGGAAGATGAACCTATCCAAAGAGTACAAAGTGAGGAATGTGTTTACAGTATACGTCATGCTAAGTGCATGTGCCATCATGTTTTGTTGAAATGGGAACATTTTCAGGCTGTTCAGTTTCTTTCTCAGGTAGAGTGAAGTGCAGCAACTGGTACCCAGAGATGGCAAGGCCCTCGCTTCAACACATGCATCATATTCTTTTGCATTCGCAGCAAATCAGAAAGATATATTTTTGTTGACATGGGTGTTTTGGAGTGCTCAGTTCTAAGGAATGTTAGCACATTTTCCACAGTAGGCAGAAATGGAAGAAGCAAGTTCTACGAAATACTTTCTCAGTCTTGACTGGGCTTGGCTTTTGGCAAGTTCCCTTCATAAGGAGCTGATTTTAGTGCAATACTGCAAAAGCTGAGAAACAGCACTGTTTATATACCGAATAAAGGAAATCTAGAGCTTGGTTTCCCAGTTGTGCCATCAGCTCTTCAGCTCATCTTTCCTCTCTGCTCTCCCAACGGTTTCTTATAGACGCTACCCAGATGGAAACACAGCTTAGTTACAATTCCATTACCTTATGCATGACAACTTTATGCATTCAAATGGAGCTTTTCTAGTGCCAGGAGATTTTAACTATCTGCAGCTTTCAAACTTACTGCATCTTTCAAGATTCAAAAGCTTTGAATGAATGTCATTGTGATGCATTACTTTTAAAAGCTTTTATATTACTTGCTGCATCACTTTCACATACACTTTGATATTAAATGATTTTAAGGACAGACGAAGCTAAAGTGCCTTGCTACAAATTCTGATACAAGAACTCTAATCTATAGAGGAAAGAACAGAGTCTAATCTTTTCAAAAGAAGAATATAAATTGTGCTCGAATTATGCAGAACTTAAGGTTTTCTAAGTTCTGTGAAAGTCTTGTGAAATACTACAGGAGTGTTACAAACCAAACCCAGATTTTCTTCACTCACTACAATTAAGTGAATTGGAACACAACAGGGTGTTAAGTCTGAATGACAAAACCTGAATAAATATAACGGTTCTTGCAAACTTTTGTTTGCAAAATTTGACATTACATAGCATATAATTTAATAGAAAAATTCTGAAGTGCTACAATCGTGATACTTCCTTTGCTATTTGTGGGTAGAAACTAAACCCACAAAAATAAACTCTCTAGAGGCACAATAGGAACATTTAAGCCCACTCATTCTATGATATCCCACTAAAACCAAAAATAAGTCAGATATAAATAAACTTCTAGAAATTCACCACATTCTCAAGCAAGATAGACTCATACTAACAATCGTAAATTAAATTAGTCTTCTAAATTAAAAAAGAAGAATCAGAAAAAAGGGAGATCACATCTAAAGCCCCAGAGTCCAATTAATACACTTTTAAAGTGAATTCAAAGCACTTGTGGCACTTAAGAAATCTGGCATCCACTGTCTTTTTGAGGCTTTATATCTGGTTCCTTCAGAGGTTTTACTTCATCATCTGGTTTTGGTTTAGCCTGCAAACAAGAAGAAAAGAAAATTAGATACCACAAGTACAAACCACTGTGTCTGCACAGTATTTATGCACGGCTAATTTTACATATTCTAATCTAACGGTCCCCTCTCTTTTCAAGGCTGAATGCTTTGAGCAAGCCTCAAGCAAGGGGGGAAAGCCAAATATTCTCTATTTCAACATCCTTACACGAATTCTTTTCTAAAAAAGAAACTTTCTATAACGTTCACTCCTGTAACATTTCAGCATTTTATACACATTAAAGGATTTCCTCCTATTTAGGGCTTAGAAAAAAAAAAGACTCCTAATTTCCAATGCTCACAGTGTGGCACAAAGGTTAACTGACTTGCCTCCTGGCACAGTGGGAATGTGAGCTCAGGTGGCAGCCTTGTGTCTACGTCCTGCACTGAGCTGGGGAGCATTACAGAAGAGCAAAACAGTAGCTGTGTTATACACAGAACAAAGCTAACAGGAAAAAACAATACAGATTTTCTTACAGTGTCATCCTTTGGCCTCTTGGTGAGATCAAAGGCTGCAAGTGTTTCAGGAGTCCAGTGTGCATTCAAGGCAGGAAATTCAAAAGGAACAGGCTCCACTAAGCCATAGTTTGCTTTCAGTTCCAGCTGGGGAGCCTCTGCTGGCACCTTCTGAAAATAGCTGTAATAGAATACACCAATATATTTAAAACACCGTGCACTATATCTGCAGGTCTCATCTGAAATTCTAAAGAAAAACAATCTGAGTTTTTACAGTGGCAATCATTGCTGCTCTCTTTCATTTCATTAAGGCACTGTCCCAACATGCATTCTATCAGCAAGATTCACAATAACAAAAGCAATTCCTTCTCAGTATTCAGCCCCTAAGAGCTAAGTGGGTTTTTTTCCTACTTCATAACCATTATTCCCAGCGCTTCAATCAGAAGAGCACCTTTGTCCAAAAAGACCTTCAAAATCCAAATGAGGACTTGCCCAGAAAGAAGAGGAGGACAGTTTTTTTTTTCCCAAATCAGGCTTAATATGCCACAGCGCATAATAGCAACAGCACTATCCACAAAGACTTGCTACAACACAAAGCCTGAATGAGAGTATCATCTTCCCTCAGGAAACCAACAAGAGCTGAAAACTGACAAATACTGACACACACTACCTTACTTCCTGTGCTGCAGCAGAGCTCTGTGACAGGCACACCTCCCAAAACAGTCACTGGTTATCTGGTTTCTCTTTCAAAGTTTGTTTCTAGAGGGACACGGATTTGTTGAAATCTGTATGCTGTTGTTGTAAGCTATGACAACAGCTATTGGAACGAAAGCAGAGTAGAGAACTTCTTTTCCTATTTGCAGTTCAGCCTGATATACTTGACGACCCTTTTTGCTTAGTCAATTCCCCTATTATGCAGGTCTTTAAATATCATAAAAAGGGAAATAACAAACCTATTATGGAATACTAAATCATAAGAAGAAGGGAGGGGAGAAAGAAACGAGCAAAAGAATTCTAAAGCCAAACTAATCTTACTATTTTAAACTGCTTACAAACTCTTTTAGGAAGGGCCATTAACTCACAGAAAGCCCTATCCACAATATTAACTATACTTAGACTGGTAAAGCCTCTAGCACCCTAAGCATACTCTTCACTGAAGGCGTGACTGTGTTTTGACTCCCTGCTAGCAAAGTAGAATCAGCTACCGGTCTTCTCCACTTCCCCTCTGTCCTCTTTTGCCTATCAGATCCCAGCAGCTGGGAAGAGGGCACTAGAGCAACACAGCAAACTCTGCAGGACTTTCTCTTGTGCTGAAGGAAAAGGAACAAAGTGGCTGAGGAATGAAGGAAGAAAACTGCTTAACCTCTCCAGCATGTCAGTCCAACCTATCCTGGTGAAGTGGCATAGAAAACAGAGAGGGTGATAGCACAAGCCCATAGCAAATCTGCTATGAGAAAATTAAAGAGAAATTTGCAGCTCTGTAAGTTGCACACCATGGCCAAAAGGAATATAAGAACTGCAAAGTAAAATTTACCATCCCATCTGGAAATAAAAGCGAATGAGGTATTAACAGCTCATACAGCGTACTGTACTAACCACGAATTACTTACATGAATCCATTCTCTCTCTGGCATTTTTCTAGTGTGTTCTTAATCAAACTTCCTAATTTCCTAAAGAAGAGATGTCCAGAAGGTTTGGCAGTAGTCCCAGGTCCTTTGGTTTCGCCATATTCTTTACACAATGCTTCAGCCTTGGCAAAAACTTTGCAAGAAAGAAACATAATAAAAATCATTTACACGAGTCTATTACTGATCTACAGTGCTTCGGTTTTAGGAGATACCAGAATCCATTCAGGCTTCTTGCTTCTTAGAAACAGAAATAAACTAGCTCAAAGGCAGCACTTCCAGCCAAGATTTACTGCAAAAGTGACTAGGAACAGAAAAAGAGATAGCTTTCTGAGTAGGAAGATGCAGGAAAGCATTCTTATGTGTGGGGGAAAATGCAACAGAAAGCCTAAAAACTGTGGCACATGGCAGAGAAAAAAAGAGAGAGTATGAAGGTTCCATGCACAGTTGATGCTCAAAAACAAACAATACTTAATATGGAGTGGGAAAGAAGCACTCTTCTCTGAAGAACAGGTGCAGTAAAAAGTACAGTATTTGTTTTACTGCAAGTAATCCAACTCAGTTTGTTCTTAATAAGTTATTTTTATTTGTTTTTAAAACTAATATTCAAAGTTTCCATTTTTATGATTTGAGTGGTTTTTTTACATTGTGGTAAAGTTATGCCATGCAGGCCATTGGGGTAGCAACAGCTTTGAAGAGAGAAGGATGGGCAGAAGACCCTGAAGACCTACTGCAAACTTCCCTTAATCTAGCTTTAAATTAATAGAAAGGAAATAAGTTACTGAAACCTGTTTAAAAAAACAAACAAACATGGTCTAGCTTTACTATTTAATGTAAAGCAGAGCAACCTCCAGGCAGAAAAGGCTGCAGTAACTTAAAACACAGACCAGAAAACTGATAACCAGACAATTGATTTTTGCTGTGTATTGCAGGCACTTCAAAGTCAGTCTTTAACAGGCTGAGAAGTAAAGATGAAATTTTCTGCAGCACTGTTATGAAAGACAGTCTTTGGTAAGACAAAAAAGGAACATACTGTCTTTATTCAAAAGCGTGCTGGATTTTCATCAGGTGCCAAATAAAATCTTAAGTTTATGGGAGACCAGACAAACACGATACAGCAAAACAAAACAGGCGTGTCATCATCAGCCCCTGTAATCCAGTCTCAATCACACTTACATTTTTCTGATTCCTGCAGAGATCTGATCGCTTCCCCGCATTTATCACTCGCCAGTAAAGTCTGACCATGGTAACAGTATGCCTAACGGGAGAGGACAAAATCATTACCAACGCCATTGGGCACTTCCTGCACCAATTCACTTCTGCTCCTCCTTATGTCAGAGTTGCATCTCTTTGGAGCTGCCATTCCCTGCAGACAGCTGACAATTTGGGAATGCAAGTCAAAGCAGCATGCACTGAACAATGCAGTTCAACACAAACACTGTGAAGCGGGCATGAAACAAGGTGTCTCGAGTCTAGCCAAGAGTAACTTTGAGCTTCATGAAGGCTGTTTTACCAAAATCACTAGTCTATAGTCTAGCTCAAACCTCTCTCTCTCACTGTATCAATGTGCAGCATCAAGCCCCATCACAGAAAGAGGATGGAGCCCAGCCAAGTTTACAAAGCAAAGGCTCTATAAACTAAAACTACTTGAACACTCAAAAACCGAATCTGCAATAAACATCACTGAATCCAGACGAGATGAGGCATCCTGCTGCTTGAGATATTTTGCCATAGTCCAAATAACTTTTTCACCCCAAAAAGTCCCATTCCTTCACACTTATGCTTGAAGATAGTACTGTATTTCAGTGAGAACTGAATTGCTTCTTTTCTACCATCAGGAGTTGTTGAGTTTAAATACGAAATACCATAGGTAAAGGAACAATCCCATGAACTATTACCTCCTTGCATATCTTCCTTTAACGTCTATTCTCACAGTACAGTAAGTGCTACCTAAATCTACCATTGCCTATATCACACAAATTAAAAAAAAAAAAAAAGAAAAGTACCACAGCTCTGACCCTCCCTCACCTCTCAAACTTGCTAATAAGACAAGTAGCTTTTACCTACGGCTTTAACATAAGAGAAGGACAACTGTGTTCACTGCTTAGTTTGGGCCTTTTTTACAGTATGGAAGAGTCAGAGGACAGGCTGTGGCAGGCTACAGGAAATAAACAGCAAACATAGCAGCTGATCATCTCAACAGTGCCACTGCGCTTGCCAAGAGATCAGACACATGAAAAAGGGACAGCGCTTGAAACGGCACCTAACGTTACTTGATGCAGGGTCAATCAGGGCCTTCAAAAAGACGATCAGCTCTGAATTATGCCTAGAATTAGACTGTGACGCAGATAATCGAAGACAAGTATGATGCTCAACCTGAACTGCTTCACTCAACAATACGTCATCACAACAAACCGCACACTGCAGTCATTTCACTTGGCTCAACAAAAACACTTCAAATGCCACTGACACTGCACAGTCTCTCTTCGCAGCATGGAAAGAAAGTCAAGGAAACACTTAGCCCCCCTTCCCTATCCAGCCCTTAGACAGCATTAAAAAATTGTGACTGCTGTCAAACAAAGTACTTACATAGGCCATATAGAAACAGGTCTTCAAGTTCAAGTACTTCCTCCATTTACCTGCATAGGCTGGATCCAAACTGGATAATGTTTGATCTATGAAAACATATGTAAAGTTATTCTTTGAGACATTTCCAAAAAGAAAAATCACACACACACTGAAAGATCAGAATTCTTAAACTGGGCAATAGATCTTAACTATAAAAGACCCAGAATCAAGTGACAAACTACTCCTGCAAAGGCACAGAGAAACTATGAGAAAAACCAAAAATATGCAGTTTATTGAGCTATCATGCAGTTGTCCCTAGAATCCCTGAAACTGCTGTCCACTAAGTTTGGAAGGCTAATTCTCCTAAGTATTTTTAGGCAGCATTTCAAAGCTTGTTCCTAGCTTAATTTCAAGTAGTGACCTATAAAACCCTACGTATGTTACAATATTCCATCTCTTACATCGACTCCCACATTTTTATAGAATCATAGAATGGTTAGGGTTGGAAGGGACCTCAAAGATCATCTAGTTACAAGTCCCCTGCCATGGGCAGGGACACCTTCCACTACACCAGATTGCCTAAAGCCTCATCCAACCTGGCCTCGTACACTTCCAGAGATAGGGCATCCAAAACATCTCTGGGCAATTTTCGCACTTTTCCCATGCCTCGGTAAGTCCCTAGATCTGCTTACTCATCTGGAAGGATCTGTATGATTAACCCACTACACACTTTATGGTCTGCATCATAATCTGATGCCCAAAGGCAATGGAAACGCACTCCATTTACATCAAGTCATTTGTTTGCTGCTATTACATATTCTCCAGACATTACTCTGTCTTCTGTCTTTCCTCACTAACATTTCCTACCATTAGCTACAGGAAAAGAATCCCACAAAACCAAAAGGTCTTATCAAAATATGTTACATTGATAACTGAAGCCTTAAATGCACTGAATAGAAGCTAAATATACAAAGCACATCCACTGAGAAACAGTGTTAATATCGCAACTGATGGGCGGCTGAAGCATGTCTGCTGGCAAAAATGCACAAATCAGGTCACCAAGGATACAAAACAAGACACTCACCAGCTTTTTGGTAGAAGTTAGCTGTTTCATAAGCAAGAGCAGCTATTAGTCCTGGACTGTGTTTCAGCTCAATAGCCCGGGCAATTGTCACTGAAAAAAAAATTCCACACCATATTATTAAAGTTTAATCAAAAATGTCACATCAAATCAGCAGAGGCATTTATAAAGCATTTTAAAACCCCTGCATGAGCAGAAAACAAGTATTGTGCAGTCAAGCAAAGCGCAGAATAAATACAGATTGTTTCTTGGATAGAATGATTGCCAATTAATAGAAAAGCTGAAGGACAGTTACTCTGAAGACTAGCTAGTTAGTTATCTAGTTACCTAGGTTACTAGTTAGTAACCCTAACGTTGCATATTTTAAAGTAAAGGAACTGGGAATGTACGTTAGGCAAGCATGGTGGTAAAGAGACTGCATGAAAGGAAAAAAAGAAGAGGGGAAGAATGTCACATACAACTTCTTCCAAAGTGGTCACATTTGTAATATCAGACTGGTTTTTGGCATTTTCCTCCTATAATTGGAATTTAAGTTTCTTTAAAAGCAACTCGCCCTGCTAAGCCACAGTACTTCAGGAGAAGAAAAAAAATGGCACTCCTGCCAAGCAGACTTCACGAGACATCAGAGTAACCCACAAAGACTGTAATTCCCATCCCCAACAAACATGTATATTTGAAGGTACCTTCTTGAGCTTCGGCTTGGCACTGTATGATGTAAGAGTCTATAAGTCGAGCTTCTAAATCTCTTCCTTTTTCTACAGGTGTAATCAATTTTGGAATATGACTTTCCTAAGTACAAAGCAAGTCTCAAAGTTAGTTAAGGCTTAACACCACTGCTGCCAATGCAAAGCAAGTCCCTTATTCCTAAATGGATGGGACATTGAGTGAAGGTCCCAAGATAGCTTGCTGCACAGTTGCATGTGCTACTGAGCAGACAGACTGATTACTCTTTCACTGCCACTGGGAAAGAGCAGCAGTGACTGAGTGGTAGCACAACATGGAATCATAGAATGGATTGGGTTGGGTTGGAAGGGATCTAAAAGATCATCTAGTTCCAACCCCCCTGCCATGGGCAGGGACACCTTCCACTACATCACGTTGCTCAAAGCCTCATCCAGCCTGGCCTTGAACACTTCCAGGGATGGGGCATCCACAACTTCTCTGGGCAACCTGTTGCAGTGCCTCACCACCCTCAGAGTGAAGAACTTCTGCCTTAGATCTAATCAAATTCTCCCCTCTTTCAGTTTAAAGCCATTGCCTCTTGTCCTGTCACTACATGCCCTAGTAAAAACATAGTAATACCCTTCTTTTTCCTCTACAGTTCAGACAGTCCGAGTTATTTGTTTATTCTGTAACCTCATCAGAAAAGCAAAGGGTTTTCTAAGACAAAAAGTCAAGTACTTGGAGACAACTTAAAGAACAGACAGCAAAGACAGGTTTTTCTACCTTCAAGTGTTTAAAAATCCCAGCTGCTATCTTCAGGCTTCTGTGAACATCTTTTGCTTCATCTTCTGTTATACTAAGAATACAGAATGAATCAAGGAAATTTTAGTTAGAAAGGACATCTAAGTGTCATTTAGTCCCACTTCCTGCTTTGGAGCAGGACTATTGCCAACAGTAGATCAGGTCAGTTATGGCTTTGTCTAGATGAATCTTGAATCCTTCAAGTATGGTGAATCCACTAACTCCTTAAGTAATCTGTTCCACTGCTGCGCTACCCTCATGGTAAAGAAGCTTCTTACAGTGCCCAACCATTAAACAATCAAATAGAACTCACTTGAAAAAAGAAACGCAAGACCTTGTAATGACTTTCAAGTAATTAGTAGCCTCAGTGTTAAAAGCCAAAGCTTTAGAAATCTGCAGGGCTGAAAGTCAGCAGAGCTGCAATATTGAGAAAGTCAATTTTGTACCTGGACATTTAGAGCAGGACTGGTGAAGGGTTTATTCACAACTGGCACTTTCTCTATACCACAGTCACATGGTACACTAGTACATTTTGTTCACAGACACAAGGACTGAAGTGCACTTGGACATTACAGCACACGAATGACGGCCAACTGCCTACTTGAACTCCTACTGTCTCAGATGGACATGCACTACAGCAGTCAAAACTCAGAACCTGCTACGTTTTTGGTGGAATATCACTGCAATGGAATTACTAAGAAAAGAAAAACACTTACTCTTCTTTTCCAGCGAGTCTTGATGCATATTTTGTGTACCACAGAGCTACATTAAATCCCATGGAAACCAGTTCAAACACTGCATCCTGCTGGGCACTAAAGAAAGACAGACAAAAACCCCCCAGACAAACACCCAAACTTTTTAATGCTTTCCATTTTATTCTGACAAACATAGTTTGTCAGATAGTTCACATAACATAAGTTGATATTTCTCTCCAAAAAATATCTTTCATTTAAGAAGTCTACAATTTCCAATCCCAAACCTCCTACTTGATGAACTGTCTAAAAGAGACTTCGATTTTTACTTATTCCCTTGGAGAGCTTGTAATTATAATTTCCCAAATTCAGATGCCTACCCTTCCCATTTGGGAACTTTTATTTTAAAACAGTAACTTGAGATTTGTTTAGCTTTGGGTGTGGCTGACATTTTTCCATCTCTTTTTTTTTTTTTAAATTCCACGTTTTGTGGAAAGCCTTCCTCTGGAATGTCTACTTTAAAGTTGTAGCTTCTAAGTTAATAAGGCAGAGTCTATTCTATTACATCTCCCTCAAATGAATGTTATTGCAAGTATTTATGTAACTGCAGTCAAACAGCATGTGCGAATAGCAGGAAATTTTCGAAGCTAAAAACATCGTCTTTGAAATGAGTGAGTTTGCAATCACAAGCTCAGTATAGCTTAGGAACTAGTAATCTTTAAAAAGAAAGGTGTGGGAGTGGGAAGAATAATGCTGGCACAAGAACAAGTGTGTATGACCACGAGAAAATTAGAAGCGAGTACTAATTGTTTTCCAAGGGGAATAAAAGCTTTTGGGAAGTCAAGTACTTCTAAATAAAGCCTGACAAATTTGTAAGCACGGTTATACAACACAATTAGCTACAATAGCAAGCAACAACTGAATAATCCAGAAGGTTTCAGGTCTATATTCCTACTTAAAACAGAAACTTTGTTTGTTTGTACCAGGAGTATATGTACTAGGAACTTCAGAGGACAGGAACAAATTCAGATCTTCAGCAACGTTTGTACTTCAAAAAACTCAGAAAATACTGGTCAGGCGACAGTACCAAATGAAAAAGTTTTAAACTGTAGTAATCTATGTTATCATATTCAGTTCACCAATACTCTCAAGGTTCTTCTTTGTACTGCTCTGGCCAACTGTAGATATAGTTTGTAGATCAACTAAGACACAATGGATCCTTCTACCATTATTATGCATTATCATGTCTTACGTAAAGGCAACACATGCTTCAGAACACCTAATACAGTACGGCAATTATCAGAAACACAAGGCAACAAGTTTTTGGAAACTACTTTGCGTCCAACATTTTGCCATTTTGCTACACTTTTAAGCTTTCCTTCACACCTGTGCTGGCACATAAGCATGTACGTAACAAACCAGAAGAAAACAGCTGCATACACAGTAATCATAAAAGCATACGTACCTTGGAACTTGTCCTTGTAATGTGTCTGTCCACTTGAAATTCTGAATATATCGCAACTTGCATTCTTGGGAAGAGTCATCCAGTGAAAGGATAAAACCTATAGAATAAAAAAAACGTACCAACAGTCAATCTCAAAGCAGGAAACAGAAACAAGTAATGAAGGAATGGGGATCAATGAGAATATGCACATAGATAAGGGAATTTTTCTTGCTGTACCACTCCAAACCCCATGTTACTTCCTGAGGCATTTATTCCTCAGTATCTCAAGAACAAGATGTGCAAAACCCAAACTGGCTACTACAAGAAACTCCTTGCCCAGCAGATTACCAATTCAACCCTGTGAGTCTTGATAGCTCAAGGAAAACTTTGTAGATGTCTGCATGTCTCATATGGTGACTAGTTGGGAGTTGGACTGACCCAGGGATGGGACAGCTGAGGCTGCTTGAGGTGAGTGAGTTACTGTCCCTGACACCATATCAGCAATCAGGAAATTCAGGAAAAGTTGCCTGGTCAACAGGGAGAGCAAAAAGGGCTTGTAAGCATGGATTCACCTAGTCATCACCTCTTTTGTCTCCAGGGCTACAGGAAATTGGTTCTTTATGTCCAGCCGCCCAGAAAGCAGCAGTCAGTGGGGTGAAGCTCATGCTATGGATGTTCAAATGCTAGCACATGTCGGCCCAAGAAGGAATTTTTCAGGGAGGATTAAGATGGGCCTTGGCCTGATCAGGCCTTACAGACTTCAAGAATTCAACACTTGTAACGGCAGCTATTGGGGCTACAGCTCTAGGCACTGTCCCATGTTTATATAAAGACAGAAAATACTTGTTATTTTAACGTGCAGAGATTTTAGTGACCAAGCATGATGCTTTCCTGAAGAAACTCTCCAAATCTTGTCTGCAGCAACACAGACTGTTATCTTACCTTTATCTGGAACATCTCAGTAGCTTACACCCCCCAGAGACTGAGGGAACTACACCAACTTGAGCTGCTTCACTTCCCACCGAGTGAAAGATCACACAGTTTCCATGAATCAGCTGATTCCTGCAAACTCAGTCCTAAGAAACTTGTCTGAGCACCCGACTGCTAAGCGAGTTACAAAATATCGGCAGGAGGAAGGTTTCAAGGGAATGCGTCATCGTAGGTGACCATCTACTGAAAACGTAGATACCATGCTACTGAGAACGTATTTATACTCAAGACAAGCAGCAACAGAAGTGTAAACTTGCAATAAGTCTATTACCTGGCATTAGACAAACCAGGAGTTTACATCAAAGAGTGAATCCCATCACCTAACTAATAGATCAATTTATACTTAAGGAGCAATTCACCACAATCTAAGAAACAAATAAACATTTCCTCCTCCAGCAGGAAGCAAAACGAGGTTAAAAGCAAGAGGACAGGACTGCCAACACTTAGTACTGGCAGCGTCACAAAGGACATTGAAACTTGTAGAAAGGGTCTGGCAAGTACCCTTGCCTGGTACCAAACATGGGACCCACGGAGACACTACTCTTCTTGACTAGTGCAAAGCTTCTTTACAGTAGATCAGCACAAATCACATTCTAAGAAGTGTCATTAAAACTCTAATCAGATACCTCTTGAGGTACCAGCAATATTGCTAATAAATGTTCCTACCTTGCAAGAGTGAGAAGTACTGGTCAGTTGCATTCTTCATCATTTCTGGATTACAACTCAAGTCTGTAAATAGCTCCAATAGCCGTGTTCGAGATAACCTCAAATCACTGTATGGAGAGGGAAAAAAAGAAAAAACAAACCTAAGAAATTCTACCCAAGAATGTACTATTAAGAAAGTACTCATCCGTGTATACCACCACTCTTTTGGCTAAGAAAGTGAAGAGAAGCATTCAATTTAGCCATCTGAAGGCAAGGAAAGGTACTTTATGAGGAAGATGCCAATAAATACAGAAAAATCTTCCTTTCTCCTCTGGATACCTATAATAGACTCTCTAGTTTCAAGTACAATCCATTTCGGACAGACAGCAATGAATGATCAGTACTCATTATCAATCTATTGTTCTAACACAAACTAAAATAACTATGTCTTTATCTACCGAGAGGTTGGGTGCAGGGGGAGGGAAGGGAAGTAACAAGCGGGAACATTCTGCAGCATTATAACGGGATGAGAATATGAAGAGGTAAAAATAGATCTGCAAAACAAGCTGAGATCTCTTTTCTTTATATTCCTATCTCGAGTAGAACACTCATGCCTTATTCAGTTATGGAAATTACTTTAAGTAACCTTTTGCAGAAGAATGCACAGTCATCAGAAAGACAATGAAATGTTTAGTCTTTTGCCTCTGCATTATTACAAAAGGCCTTGCTATATACTCAGAGACTTGAAAACTGGATAATTCATTCTTTGTACCTAAATGTTGCACGTTACCAGTGTCTTATTGTCTCCCAGCCTACGCGTTTCTAGTCATCTTCAGAACAAAAATTAAAGAGTAGCCATTACTTTTAAGGATGTCCTCTAAACTGTGAGAGACAGAGTGAATTTAATCACAAGTGCACTTACTTGCAAACTTTTGCTGCGGCCGGAGTGGTAGCTACTCCATAAAAATTGAACGAAACAGGAGCTGTAGCCTTCAAGGGGTTGCGATGAAACCAGTGAGTCATTTTCTTTCTGTAGTGTTGTCTACACCAAATCTAAGGTCTGGAAAGAAATGAAGAGCTGTAGGAACAGGTACAACTGAGGTGCTATATGTGTCACGCTTCTCAGTTCACAAAAACATATATTCCAAATGTAAAAAAATAAGAGATAAATTAATTTGCAAAGTTGTATATACATAATCACACAGAATAAATTAGATTTTTTTTCCGTTTGAAATATTAGGCTTTCATGGCCTTGCCTTCATGATCCACCTGCTTAGTTTGAAAATTTCTCTCTGTTGAAATACGTATGTTTTCCAAGGCACCTGTGTTAAGTAGGGCAAAAAAGCTATCACCAACTTTGTTCTAGATTACCGTATACTTTTTTACTTCCTCAAAAAACCATAACTGTTACCTCTGCACGAGGCTGAATACTTCCCATGTCATTTACAGGTATAACTCGATTCACCGAGGTTGTTATATTGGTTAATCAGTTTTGATTGTGGCACCACTAATATTGGATGAAACTCTGATTACACAGTAACCCTTACTGAAAACATGGATATATTTGCATACATGTGACAGACCTGGAAATTTCCTACAGTACAGCTAAACCAGACCATCTTTTCTCTTTTAGCTCAATTTCGGAGAACACATAGCGCATAAGCACTCCAGTGAGATGTTTTCACAAGCCTTCAACAGTAGTGCATGGTAGGAAGGTGAAACATCATGGGCACGCGTTGAAACAAAGAAGGTCTGTACTGGATACGAGGAAACTTCTTCACCAAGAGGACAGCCAAACTGAGGAACAAGTTGCCCCAAGAGCTTGTGCGGTCTCCACCCTCAAAGACTTTCAAGACCCCTCCGGATAAAGCCCTGATCCACCTGGTCTGACTCCACGGCCGGCCCTGCTCTGAGCAAGACCTCGGACTAGAGGCCTCCCAAGACCTCTTCCCAACCTCAGCATCTTATGACCCTCTTTGAATCCGGAGGTTCATCGTTATAAAACACTTTGCAGCTACGCTGAAAAAAAGGAGAT